CCAGAGCCCCAGCCTGGGCCCCTCCCGCCGCCATCTTGCGCCGACTCCCTCCGCCTTCCGCCTCCGCTCCGCCTCCTGCCCGTTCGGCTTTAAAGGCACAGGCGGGCACCCTGCTCGTGTCGCTGGGCAATACTTGGCCGACTCAGTCACTTCTCCTTTAAACACAGTTACTTCATTACGTCTTAAAGGTACCAGGTCTCTCCCGCCGCTGAGGACTCGGGACTTGGTTTGGCCGAAGCACTCGTTCTCCTTTAATTCTGTAAGCCTGCCTCTTCCCTTGGAGCTGTAGGGCCATTAGCGGGTTTGCGGGATCTAAACGCCCTAGAATCCCTGAAGCCCCGCCCCCTTCCTCCGGGCCTGGATTGGCCAAGTAACCTTGAGTGGGCCCCTGATTGGCCTCTTTACTCCTACGGCTCCAAGTGGAAAAGTAAAGAGCTCAAGCACATTTTTCCAGGTGAAACTCCAGCAGAGCGGGGCTAAGGGTAGGCTACCAAGGACAGATCCAGGGCTACCGCGGGGCCGGCGGCAAACCCTGAGCTAGAGAACAGCTGGTGCCAATTGGTGAGAGCAGAAGGACAAAGACAGGGATACAATAAGAAAAGAACTTTATTGTTTAATGTAAAACAAGTTGTGTTTTTTGTTTTTTTTGTTTTGGTTTTTGTTTTTTTAAAAGAAACACCACCAAAAAGGGATTAGCTCAGTCCATCCCTTCCTCAGTCATCTGCTTCCAAATCCTATCCTCAAACATTCTGGAGTCAGGGAGTGATGGGGAGGCTAATCAGAGTCTGAGAGCACGATGATCTCCTCTGGATCGCACTGTGTGGCCACACTCATCTGTAAGTGAGTGAGACAAGAGTCAGAGAGGTCTGGAATATAGGGGGAGGAGAAACATAGGGAAGGACTTATTAAAGATTAAAAATTGGGGTAGGAAGAAGGAAGACAGAGGATGTGGTGAGTGCAATATTCAGATGGTGTACCTGAAAATGAACAGACATGGAAAGAGAATGAAGTCAGGAAAAACAGCCTCCCCCTCTTACCTTGAAAGTGCTAGGCTGGGAGGGTTGTAACTGGGGGGTTAGGGACAACTGGGCTGGAGATGGGCTGCAGAGGGAGCTGGTCACCAGGCCATGGCTGGGAGAGTCCACTCTTGTTGAGGAATCAGCAACTGGTACCATGGAAGCCAAAGGGGAATGTGGGCTGGGCAGGGTACATATCTTCTTCCCAGTCTTCTCATGTACTTCCCTTTGCCCTTCCACATAGCTAGGGACAGAAACATAAGTGTAGGCAGTCTGGGACTGGAGGGAGAGTGTCAGTCTTTCCCAGCAAACTCAGTTCCTCAGTACTCCTCTTAGATAGCCCCCTGCAATCCCTCCTTCGATCCCCTCTTCTTCCTCCTTGTTGTTACCTGCTTCCTAAAGGTCCTGCTCCTGTTTGCCTCTCCTTCCGAAATTTTTTGCAGGGGGGACTAGAATCTCCCCAGGTGTGAGGAGAGACACCTCCATTGAAGGAAGTGGAGGTGACCATGGCTGCTCCATTCTCCACAACAGTGGTGAGGGGGTCCTCTGATTGCTTCCTGGAAGAGGAAATGTCCCCCTCCTCAGGGGAAGGGGTGGTATCCACAGTCAAGGCTTCAATCTCAAGCTCAAAGACCTGAGACACAGGGCTCTCTTTCTCCTGGGGCACCTCCTCCGGAGAGTCTTCATTGCTTCCAGCATCTACACTGCAGAGTGCCAGGGGCTCTTCTGACAGCGAAGGTGGTAACACTGTGAGTCCTTTGTTTTGCTGCTCCCCTGAAGACCTGCTGCTCCCTTTGCTAGGTTCCAGGTTCTTTTCGGTGGAGATCTGTGGTGGGCACATGGGGCTCTGGTCTCCATCCTTATCTGAAAAAAAGAAAAGAGGGGAGGGGTAGCATGAGAACTAGGGGAAGAACACTGCCAAGAAGGGTCTCAAACAGGTGGCATGCCCAACACAGGGAACTGACACGTGAAAAGACTTTCCTTGACATACCTGCTTCTTCCTCCTCTTCCTCCTCCTCCTCCTGACCTTCCAGTATCAGTTCCAGATCCCCCTCTTCTTCGGAATCTGTAGTCTCCTCTTCCTCCTCTTCCTCTTCTGCCTCCTCTTCCTCCTCCTCCTCCTCCTCTTCTTCCTCCTCTTCATCACTTTCCTCATCTTCTTCATCATCTGTCTCAGCCTTAGAGGAGGTAGGGTGTTCCTGGGATGCCATTCCACTAGGGCCCTGGGGAACAAAGGAGTTTCTCTAAGAAATCGCTTGCCCTGATCGGTGTGCTCAGTGGTTAGAACGTCCAGCCTACTCACTAAAGGGTTGCAGGTTCGGTTTTGATCAAGGGCACCA